GGAGATTTCAGAGCTTCGGCAACACTCTATAAATCATAGAATCATTTTTCACGGGGGAGAAAGACGATGGTGACGAAGTTATTATCAGCTTACAGAGTTCTCATACGTGAAGCTAAATCGGTTATGGATCATTTCACTGATATTTTAGCTACCTATGACTAAGAGGATCCTTACTTAGCCAATACTTGCTGCAATTGAACTGCACTGGTGTCTCGCTACCTAATTAAAACCTGCCACAAGACACTACAAAGACGTAAATCTACATGCTTTGTCATTTGTCATTGCGACATATAGTTCATATCATTCATGACATCAACCACACCACGATCGGCGCTGTTTACTCACAGGCAAAGCAAAAAGAGCCACGCCATTGGAACGGAATGAGAATGCTTCTTCGAGACCAGGCCCGCCTCGATCCCATCGCCACCCTTTCATCAAGAACCCGGCATTAGGAGCAGTGAGCCGACGTGATCGACTCATGCTCCAGCCTGTCCAGCACGGCATTAGGGGCAGTGAGCCGACGTGATCTGATTCATGCTCTAGCCTGTCCAGCACGGCATTAGGGGCAGTGAGCCGACGTGATCTGATTCATGCTCTAGCCTGTCCAGCACGGCATTAGGAGCAGTGAGCCGATGTGATCCGACTCATGCTCCAGCCTGTCCAGCACGGCATTAGAGGCAGTGAGCCGACGTGATCTGATTCATGCTCCAGCCTGTCCAGCGCGGCATTAGGAGCAGTGAGCCGACGTGATCCGACTCATGCTCCAGCCTGTCCAGCACGTCATTAGGGGCAGTGAGCCGACGTGATCTGATTCATGCTCCAGCCTGTCCAGCACGGCAATAGGGGCAGTGAGCCGACGTGATCTGATTCATGCTCCAGCCTGTCCAGTACGGCATTAGGAGTAGTGAGCCGACGTGATCCGACTCATGCTCCAGCCTGTCCAGCACGTCATTAGGGGCAGTGAGCCGACGTGATCTGATTCATGCTCCAGCCTGTCCAGCACGGCAATAGGGGCAGTGAGCCGACGTGATCCGATTCATGCTCCAGCCTGTCCAGCCCGGCATTAGGAGCAGTGAGCCGACGTGATCCGACTCATGCTCCAGCCTGTCCAGCACGGCATTAGGGGCAGTGAGCCGACGTGATCTGACTCATACTCCAGCCTCTCCAGCACACAGCATTAGGGGCAGTGTGTGACGCGCGGCCGGCGGCTGGCGGGGCCGGAACAGCCTGGGAGCGCCGTCGCAGCACGGGCGCGGACGATCCGGAACGGTACACAGTGGCCGTGCGCAGCGTAGTGCTCCAGCCGCGCCGCTTGGACCTGTTGCTAGGCACTGCGCGCCCCTCCGCGGTCCCAGTGGACGACTCTGGAGCGATGTCGAAAATCATAACCTCTTTTCGGAAACAGGAATCATGCTTGAAACAAACGCATGTCAGAGTGATGCAGCGCTCGCGAAGCATCCTTTTTTACTTCAGAAGAAGTTGGTGTGAGTGGTTCGTCTGTTACACAGACCCATGCTGGGACATCCCGTGCTGCCCCCCCCCCCCCCAAATGCGCGCACTTTTGTATGTTGATGTAGCAACAACGTCCATGAAGCCGGCAACGGGTCGGGTCGTCGAAGCTCCTTAGCCGTGGGCAGCACTCGAGACGCGCGACGGAGCTCCGCATGCCCCGGCACAGACACGCTGCCATACACGCTGCCATACACGCGCGACGGCTG